GAGGACGACGTGCTATTAAATCCGTAATATCTCGGTGCGTCGTTTGCAAAAGACAAAAAGTGAAGTCATTTGAGGAACGTGCTCCTCCCTTGCCGTTTGATCGAGTGCGCGATGCCGTCGCGTTCGAAATTACAGGGGTGGATTTTGCCGGTCCCCTGTATTTGAAATCTAGACAGAAGTCGTGGATATGTATATTTACTTGTGCTGTATATCGGGCCGTGCATTTCGAACTTTGTACGTTGTTGTCGGTGGTAAATTTTATGGAAGCACTTCAGCGTTTTATAGCCAGACGCGTCCTAAAGTAATCTATAGTGATAACGGGACAAATTTTGTTGGTACCGATAACGCATTTTCTCGTCTGGACTTTCAGAAAATCGCTGAATACAGCAGTGCGGAACGCATTAAATGGCGATTCAACCCACCTACAGCGTCTTGGTGGGGCGGGTTTTGGGAGCGCCTCGTAGGGGTGCTAAAGCAGTTGCTACGAAAAGTGCTTGGTCGTGCTTCGCTCACCTATAAAAGTTTGGTGACGGTGATTTGTGACTGCGAGTCAATCATTAATTCGAGGCCGCTAACGTATCAGTCATCCGATGCTAATGAATTGATACCTTTAACCCCTGTAATGTTTCTAAGGGACTTGGCCGAGTGCGGTGTTCCGGATATTGATGCTGTCAATCAGTCTTCTATGTGTAAAAGATTGCTGCATAGACAAAAAATAGTTGAGGATCTTCGTCGTAGATTCCGCAGCGAATATTTGGGGCAGCTAAACTTGATGTCGAAAAAGCGAGAATGCAGAACAGTGACAGTCGGAGATGTGGTTCTTGTTGGCAATGACCAAGACAAACGCATTAGTTGGCCCATAGGACGTATCATTGAAACATTGCCTGGGAAAGATGGGAAAATTCGACTGGTGAGAGTCTTGACTGCGAAGGGACAGTTGCTGAGACCTATACAAAGGCTGTATCCTCTCGAGTGTGCGGACGTCAACGATGGTCTTCAAGAATTGCCAGCTGTAGAGACAACGCCTAGTATTGAAGAAGTTGAGTCTAGTTCACTGAGGCGCGAGTGCAACAATGAAGAAAGTGTCGCGAATTCGGAAGTTGTTAAAAGCAGAGCACCCGATTCGAAAAAGTGTGTTACGCGTAGTGGACGTAAAATTAACGCGCCCGCACAGTTGAAGGACTATTTTTTAGAATAGATGATAGATGTTAAGATGTTGTTACTATTATTATGTTCTATTTTTTCATCCCCCTTAGTATTTTTTAAGTTTTCGTTGTTTCTGTATGTCTCTGATAGTTTTGTGAGCCAGATTTTTAGTTAAAAATTGCCTCAGGTGGGAGGATGTCAGGGCATCAGTAAATATTTATTGTAATAAGTACCTATACATTTAAATTAACACTCGGTATAGGAAATACTAAAAGATTTGTACAGCATTTCGTCCAAGAAAATTAATCTTTTTTTTTCTACTTTTTTATGGAATTTTGTTTACGTTACAAATTCTTGCTATGTAGACCCTCAACGGCGTCGAGAGATAAACATCTATTGTTCCCATTGTACTTTTTTTGCTTCGGGGCAAAGGACAGCAGATAAGAGAATTAGGCATTTTTTATTATTGAAACCTCATATTTAGGTCCGCAAGAGGTTCTAGCTGTTTCTCAGTTTTCTTAGTTTTTTAGTCGCTTGTAAAACGTTAGTGGATACACATTTATTTTGTATATTTATCAGTATTTTACGCAGAACGGTTTTTATCATTTCCCAGTTAATTTAGAATAAAGAGTTTCTTTTGTTTAAATAGTGCTTTTTATTTTACGAACCGTGTTTCCGAGTATAACGGGTAGTTGTATTTCGGGGCACAAGACAGATATCGTTAAACAGTAAACAGCGCACGTACATGTTAACTCTCATGCAAGAGATTGATCCCAAATATAGATATACTGCTCAAGGTAGTGGCAGGGCAAGAAACCATGCATTTTATTTTTCTAAAGACAATAAAAAAATAAGAGTATGCAAAGAATTCTTTGTAGCAACACTGGGCATTACTAACCGTTGTATACGCACAGTAAAATCTAAAATTAGGAATGGTACTCTGGGGCAAGATAATAGAGGAAAACATCTAAACCACAAAGCCGTTTCTGAAGACATAAAAGATGGGATTCGCTCTCATATTTCATCAATTCCATCAATCGAGAGCCACTATACACGTGCACATACTGAAAAGACTTACATTGACGGAAGTAAAACAATTGCCCAGCTATATCGAGATTACAAGTCAGATTGTGTAGCCCAAGGAAAACCCTATGAAAACTTAACCATGTACAGAAAGATTTTCAATCATGAATTCAACATAGCCTTTTTTGTTCCAAAGAAGGACCAATGCCAAACATGCGTTTCTTTCCAAAACTCAAACGAAGATGAGAAAAAAGACTTAGAAGAAGAATATAAGAGTCATGCCGAAGAAAAAAATTTAAGTAGGGAGGGAAAAAATATGGACAAAAGCAAAATTTCTAAATTATTTCAAGTAGCATGTTTTGATTTAGAGGCAACACTTCCAACACCAAACGGTCAAGTATCTTCGTTTTACTATAGGTCAAAGTTATCGACGTATAATTTCACAATATGTGACATAACACAAAAAGGACAGGGTCCTGTCTACTGCTACATGTGGCATGAAGGCGAAGGAAAGAGAGGAGCCATTGAGATTGGTACCTGTTTATTGAACTATCTTAAAGAAAAATCTGATACTTCCGACAGTGATGATCTTGAAATAACGTTATATTCTGATAACTGCGCAGGTCAGCAGAAAAATAAGTTTGTCATTGCCGCTTTCCTTTATGCTGTTGCTAATTACAAAATAAAGTCAATAACCCATAAATATCTCATCACGGGGCATACCCAAAATGAGGGTGATAACGTTCACTCCTTAATAGAGAAAAACGTCAAACGAGCTTTGAAATCTGGACCTATTAGTACGCCATCGCAGTATGTGGGCTTAGTGCAAACGGCCAAGAAAACAGGAGAGCCATTCAAAGTAATTGAATTAGCACACAATGACTTTTTGGATATAAAAAATCTAGCTGAACGGACTTGTTCAAATTTTAACAAGAATTCTTTGGGACAAAACTTTAAGTTATCAGATTTTTCTGTAATAAGGGTAGAAAAAGAGAACCTGGGTAGTTTCTTTTATAAAACTTCGTTCAAAGACGTTGACTACAAGGAAGTAAGCGTAAATAATGAAAGACGCACAAGAAAACCATTGAATAATGAACCTCTCTCAGGGTTTCATTTCAAAAAAGCTTACAATAAAGCAATACCGATTACAAAAAAAAAAATACGACGACCTAATGTTTCTATTGAGAACCAATGCAATTAATAAAACTCAGTCAGTTTTATGAAAATTTGACATTTGAATGAAAATCTTCAATTATTGGAAGAAGAGGTGTATAAAATACAGGTTATTATTAATATTAGGGAATAATAAGTAAGGAATTTATAAAAAAAATATGATTTTTTATACTTACTTTGAATTTTTATGAATAAAGTTTATTTTGTGCAATCTTCCTATTCTTGTTTTATTTATTTTAAAGCAATTTTATTAAACATTTTTCCAAATTGTACCACTATTATTTCAATGTTACTGTCTGAAACTTGAATTTATTCGTTAATCAATAGTGACACAACCCATCAAAGATCAATTTTCAAAAAAGAAAAAAGGAAAGGAAATATTTCTCTATGAATAAAATCAAAAAACAAAACAATCAATATTGTCAAACTTTAAATTGCTATTGATAATTTTACAATTTTTTGACTTGGAAAATTATCAATGTCTTATATCTTAGTTTTCTCCTATATCACTATTTTTGAGTTATGCCATTATTGTCGCCAGTGAGCGAAATGTATTATAGGTTATTGAGTCGACCTCTAGTATTACATTAAATCTATTATTAAAAACTGCTGTTTTACGGATGACATTCAGTTTATAATCTTTATTTTGTTCTTGTATATTATTTTGCTTAATAATTTTATCAATTATGTCCTCGTTATCCATATTAAACTCACAGTCTTCGATTCCTACCACTTTAACCCGGTTTTGTTTGATTTTAGGGCGGTCTACGCTGTATGCATCACCGAGCTTGTTTTGGATTTGGGTTTGGATGTTTACAATCTCCTGTTGACCACTACATTTTAAAATTAAACGCCCATCTTTTGTTGGCCGGCCTATTGATAAACCGATTCCAATTTCGGTAGGATTTACTTTATTTTTCAAATCTTGTTTAAATACTGAAATATCATTTTGAGTCGAATTTTGTTTTACAAAAAGAATCTTATTTTCATTTTTAGTTACCGATGCATATGTTTTATCAGGGACCTTTGTTTCCTTTATTTTAGCTTCTTTGAGATATGCAAATTTCCACACTGATTTTTTCATGTGAAACCCTCTAAGTTCTATATTTTCGCACTTTCCATGAAAACACCAATGGCAATTTGTGCACTCAATAATGGTTTTAACATCATCGAAGATTTCTTTGCACGAGAAAAACACTTATTTATGTCCGGACTGTTTACTTTGTCGACTACACCGTACGTCGCCATGACACCATTCCAATATTGAATCAGTAGAAATTTATTTGAACATCATAAGAAATCGTTGAAACTTTTTAGAAACTCGATGGAAAATGATACAAATTCATTAGAATATTTAAAATTTAATAGATTTTTTCAACATATTAAAACACTAACCTGGAAAAGTTAAAAAAAAAAAAAAAAAACAAGAAAATTCCAAAACAGAATTCCTTGTAATTTTTTGGAAATGTTTTTTTGGTTTTTGTCAATCGTTTATCGGCTGCCATTGTCATTGGCTGTCTCTCTCTATGTTATATTTTTCTTTCCTCTCTCGTGTAACGAAATTTGCTAAAACGTGACGCGTCTTTCAAATCACGTCTCCAATTTCGTCCAAATATCATTTCGCTGTTAGAAGTGTCACTTTAAATAAAACACAAATAAAAATATAGAGGAAACTTTATTTTTTCGGAAAAAAAAATCGTTTTCATACAACGATCAATCGACAATAATCGATAAAACTTGACCCTATTATTAATTATATTAAAATAATTAATATTTTTATTTTTTTGAGAAAAACCAGGAAAATTAAAATATATCACATGCAGTCTAAAAGAAAATATTAAAAATGGCGACGTACAATCTCTATAATAATAATGCAATAATTATTTACACGACAAAACGAGACGAGAAAATTTATCAAGAACAAAAGATCAAAATACATATTAACCCGGTATTATACGCGTTAAAAAACTTACGTCATTGTACGCCTGCTTAAATGTTCATATGAATTAATAGAATTCATAATAATATCAAATTATGCAGTACAGTTACCGTATTATGGATAGCCAAAGTTAAAAGGTACTTCCAATATCAGAAAATGCCACAAATATTTTAGATACCTACTCAGGTTACCAACTATAAAAACAACGAACTATATATTTCAACAAAAAACCGAAATATTTTTGGGCCAATGAGTAGTGGAAAACTTGCATTAGGCATTCTTGGATGGACAAAACTCTTGTACCAGTGATTTTATCAATGCTCGGTTCTTTAGACTGACACGCGTGTACTCCCGGGTTAAAATTATTCTCATTTAACAAAAAATGTATTTTAAACCTTAAAAATACATCCAAGAAGATAAAAAAACATTGTCATAATAATAATTATTATAAAGAGTTTCATGTAATAAAAAAATAAATTTTGTTTAAAAACGTAACTAAATTACGTTGAAACCATCATTGAGAAAAATAAACGAAAAACTGATTATAAAATAAATAAAATTTATTTACTGTCGCACTAAGAAGTCACAGGCGTTGGAACGGTATGCAATGCCACATGTAAAGCTTGTTGTTGTTCAGCTGACATCGTAGCAAAGACAGTCTGGAAAAATGACTCATTTACTTGCACTTGCCTTACAATATTCAACATCCTGGCTCCTTCTGAGGAGGTTGGTTCGATTACTTCACGACTGAACGCTTCAGCTATGATGTGGATGATTTTTGGGATGTTTGCGTTGTTTGAACCTGGAAATAAATATGAGAAATTGGTAGAATGCAATTGTAAAAATGTCAAAAATTTGAAACTTCCTTTTTGCATGCAAAAAGTTTAAACATTTTCTCTTTATTAGTTTTCTAGAAAACATTTGAAATGTAAGAGACTGGTATTTCCAATTACCTACATAATTCAGTTGAAAAATTAAAAATAAACTTACCTATAACAGCCTGATGATTCTGTTCAATCAAATCACACAAGTATCCATACACATGGGGAGCCTCATCCGAATCCTCAACCACAGGCAGCCAAGTGAACCAAACCGGAATAACATCAGCTAAATTAATTCCACTACAATTATACTTCATTATTTTAGTAACAGCCGAAATAGCATTTTCAGTTGCATTAATATTTCTAGGCTCTTTTGATTCAGGATGGGTGATAACTTCTACCAATGCGGGCATAATTTTGGCAACTTCTCCTGCAAATTGTTCTCCGCCGAATTGAGCCAAAACACCCCAACCATAAGCGGCAGCTTGACGTACCTCGCAGTTTTTGTCTCGTATATAAACAGCCAAAGGTTCCAAAAAGATGTTTTGATATTTAACACAGGCAGGCCCACAATATTCAATTACATCGTCTATAACGCAAATGCCCCATTGCCTATCAGCCCAGCTTTGATTGGGTGTTAACAAGTTGACAAAATGATTGACAATTTGATCGAAAAACGGTATAAAATTCTCCCGGTAGACTGTAAACAAGGAATGAATTACATCTGCTATTTTGCTTAAAATGTAAATGTCATCAGATTCTTCGTCTTCTAGTTGCTCTTGCACTTCCTCATCATAATCTTCGTCTAAATGTTTTTTGTGTCTATCTTGTGCTCTATCAAAGTGCTCAGTCATCAACTTGTCTGTAATTCTTAAAATCTCGCTCATACTTTCTTGGTTAATATAAGAAGGTCCCAATTTTAAAATACAACGTGCTAATGAGTCAAGCATTGCAAGTATTACTTCGTTTTCAGGCTCGGTATCAATAGCTCTTAGTAATTCTGGACAAATGAAGCGCCACATGTCGTTGACAAAGGCGGGGCCTTTGCAAGTAGAACATTCTAACAGCCAAGGCAATGATTCTGCTGCCGCATTGCGCACTCCATCATGGAAATAGAATTTCAACATTGGTACCATTAATTTGACAGTTTCTTCAGCGTAGGGGGCGAAGCCATCTTTTAGTTCTCGAGCGTAGCATACCAACATCATACAGGCGGCCGCTTTGTCTTCTAAGCCTGAAAAAATAATTGAAATTGTTATGACGCAAAACATTGAAAAACCAAAATATTTGGAATGTAGGTAATCGATCAAAGAATGTTTATGCCAAATTTGAGCCAATTCTGACAGGAAGTTTTTTTTGTTTCCTTGCAAATCAACCAATCAGAGCACAGAATTTACAATACCTATTTATGCATTCTTCTTACCTGCTGTTCGAATTCCGAAATTCTTCTGTTCGCCCAAAGAGACAAACTGCCATTCGTCTTCCACTCCATCAATTCCGGCAAGTTCTTCACTGTCAAGCAACGCCACGTCCGGTTTCATGGCTGCCGTTCGCATAACTGGGCCCATAACCAGTGGCAGATACGGTTCGAAGTTTTTACCAAGAACCTATAGAAGTATGTTTGTTAAAAATTTAAAATAATTATCAAAGTGACTTACTCTACATATTCTAGACCAAGCGGATATCAAATAACTAGTTTGCGGATCGTCATCGGGCAATTCTACTCCGCTACCGTGGGTTTTAAGCAACATGTCCATTACTTGAGTGGCATCGGCGCTGAACTTTTCTGGTCCTACTGCCACTCCAATCAAAGTGACACATTCGATGGTTTTACCTAGAAATTATTCAATAATTATTTTGACAATCAAAATGACAAATTATTGCCTCACCTCTAAGCAACTTATACTCTTCCTTATTAGCATTTTCAATGATATACTTGAGACATGGCATTAGTCGGTCATAGTAGGCGACAAATTCGTTTTCAGCAGTATCGGCAACACTGGCAATTGTTGTAACAACTTGTTCTAGTACCAATTTGGTACCTTTTTCAACTAATTCTTTCACTTTAGATGTCAAAATGCCTTCTAATTTGGCCATCAAAGGTTCTAGATAATTGCTAAGAATGTGCTTAGGACAATCTTCGGCGAAATTCACCAAGGCGGCACCTGAAAATTTTTAACAATAAATTGACTTGAAATGTCAAAATTTGACAGTTATTACCTGCATGTGCTTGTACTCTAGGATTGGCATTGTCGTCCAATAGCATTAATAAGCCAGGAACTACTCGGGCATGGAATTTTTTTTCAAAAACTGGCGCGAAATCTGTTGACATTTGTCCTACTGCGTTGCAGGCCGCGTATCTAACACGCGGGTGGGGATCTTGTAGGTATCTGTCAAATGCCGGAAAAACGTTAAGATAACGTCACTTGTCAACTGTTAACAATTAATGTTTGAATGACGTTAAATGTATTGTGTACTTGTCAATAATGATTTTTTTTACAAATTGTTATGTGCTTGATTTATACAAAATCGTGTGCCAAAGAGACTAGAAATACCAACCATTGTGGTATTTCTAGAGGAGTAAGAGAAGAGTGAGGAGCTCATTATAAGAAAATTTTCAAGTAAAAAATCACTCCAGGAAAAGTTTGGAAAATTAAATTAAGTCAATGAAAGATCTGACAACACTAAGCTACCACACAGTGTTGCCAATATTTTTAAGAAAATAAAATTTCTAAATTTAAAAATTATAACTGAAAATTGGTTTCAGCCTAAGGTTAACCTCACATTTAGGTGCAGTAAAAATTAACCTTTGGTCAACGAAACATTATAATATTGGCCCTTAATTAGCCAATACACCTTTCAGACACTTTTGTCTTGCAGGATGTCTATTCTAGAATCCAGGGTCTTATGAAAACAATTATTCTGTCCTTGTCAGGGTCACGCAAATAAAAATAGGCGTTTTCATGAAAACGATGTTCCCCTGTTTCAAGTATTAAGACCCAGAGCAGGGACTCTGTAACGAATAACAATCAATATCTCTACCTCTATTGATTTCGATATGAGAAAAGGAGACAACAAGTGTCGCAATAGCGAGGGGAATAACTAGGCCCGGACCCGTGAGCTCCATAGCGAAACTGCAAGAAAAAACGTAAAAAAATCGAGATTACACCAAGAAAAAAAAAGTAGCTACAGAAACTTCAACATACTGAAACAGGAGATCCTTCCAAAACCCAAAATAGGAATTCTAGATGCAATTTTGACGCGTTGCTATGACAAAAGTGACAGAATCTCAGACAGAAGTGTCGTAACAATATGGCGGAAGTGGGATACGCTTTTTTCTTCTTATTTCGCCTCCTTATTATTCTACTTCAATAATTTTTCCTTAATTTTGCCTAAATAAGTCAATTTTCTTTGAATTTTTCCTGGAGTGATTTTTCACTGGAAAATTTCGAAATTTCCCTATAATGAGCTACTCACTTTTCTCTTTGTCCTGGAAAATTTTCCCTTTAGGAGTTTTCCAAAAAAAATTTAAATGTGAAAGGATGAATTTTGCTTAGAAAAGTCAATTTTCCAGAACTTTCCTATCGACTTTCCTTACAGTGATTTTTCACTAGAAAATTTTGAAAATTTCCTATAATGAACTCCCCATTTTCTTCTTGTTTCTGGAAAAATTTCACAAGTTTTGCTTCATTAGTTTTCCAGAAATAAATTAAAATGTGAGAGGATGAGTTTTTCTTAATTTTACTTGAAAAAATCATTTTTTCAGAATTTTTCCTGGAGCGATTTTCCATTGGAAAATTTTGGAATTTTCTTATAATGAGCTCCTGACTTTCCTCTTTTTCCTCTTTTGCCAATTTTCCAGGAAACAATTGAAATGTGAGAGGGTGAATTTTCCTTAATTTTACTTGAAAAAGTCAATTTTCCAGAATTTTCCATAGAGTGATTTCTCACTGAAAATTTTCGAAATTTTCTTATAATGAGCTCCTCACTTTCCTCTTACTCTGCCAGTTTTCCAGAAAAAAATTAAAATGTAAGAAGTCAATTTTCCTTAATTTTGCTTAAATAAGTTAATTTTCCAGAATTTTTTATAGAGATAGTTTTTCGTGATGTCCATAATTCTCGTAATTTTTCATTATTCACGTAATCTTTCATAATTTCCATTTTTCGTAAATTCTGTAATTTTCTGTAATATTGAGAAAATTTTCGTAATTTACAAATAATTCCTGTAATTTTGAATAATTTTGAGTAATTTTGCATTTTTGGAATAATTCCTGTAATTCCCCTATTTTTTTGTAATTTCAGAGTATTTTTTGAAATTTTGAATTATGTATATCTGTGGCATTTGGGAGAAATATGTTAACTCCACTGATATAAATATTTTTTTATGAATTTTCATTTGAGCTAACTATGTTAAGTCCAGCACTGCTAGTCAATGTGTTACAGTTTGATAAAATATCGACAAGTCCTCTTTAGTAAAATTTTTTTTTGGTATAATCGTGTTAAAAAATTATATCATGTATTCCAAAAAAAAAAGTAAAGTAGAACCATTTGATACATTTATGATAAGTGTTAGTTATCATGTTTAAACCAAATTTTCCAAAAATTATTTTGATCATTTTGTGTTATATCCCACTTAACATAATTCTGTCAAATGAAAAATAAGTTTTATTAAAATATCTTTTTACGTTCTTCATATAAGTGTGATATAACATAAATGTACCAAATTTTTATTTTAGTACTTCTGTACTTATCATAATAATCGTTCATACTCGTCAATCATCGCGAAAACGACAATGCATTGTTGGCTAGGCTAACAGTTTTTAGATGAAGGCGGTTGTGGTGCTGATGCCCTAGAGTGGTTTATTGTTTTGGTGTTTTTATTGTGTTCATTTTTGAATAATATTTTCCTAAACATGGCCTATAGTGCACGGACTGCGAAAATGATGGCGATGTGTAGAACGGAAAATGAACCAACGACTTCTAATAACGTAAGTATTTATTTCTAATCTAGAAGCTTTCAATAGATGTTTCAAATAATGAGGTTTACTACAAATATACAATTATCTAGAAGTTCTAAAAAAGTTTCTTTTGCAACTTTTGATACTTTTTTCAGTTAAGCGATAATGATGCTCAAGGAGAGTCAAGTTTTCAACAATATCCATTAGAAAAAAAAAGAAGAAATAGGATATTCCATTATCGAACTGGAAAATTGGACTGCTGAAAATTCCAATCCTAATGAATCAGAAATTTTTGTGAATATAACACAAACTATGGTAAGTTTTGACTTGCAACCTCTGAAAAATAATATTTGAAAGATCAACTTATTATTATTTCTAGAAATCTAATGATATTGCTGGCTATATAGTTGAAGCTATTGTGCAAAATCAACCAACAGTAACAGTCTGCCAAGAAAAAGTTGAGATGGATAATACAGCTTTACCATACAATACGGTAAGTCCTAAAAGATGATTTATCATTAACCTTCCCTGAAAATAAAAATTATTTATTTTTAGGTGAGCACGGATGTTTTTGCAAACATTGAGGAAGAACTACTGATCACTTTCTTGGATGCAAACCAGACTTTTGAAGATGATCCACATCTTCCAGGTCCGTCATCACCTACTGAAGATTTTAGTCTAGTGGTTTATGGGTGCCACCGAATGCTGAGCCAAATAACAATGAAGCTGATTCTTCTGAATGGAGTCAAGACGAGACGGATGATGACATCCCTTTAGCGCGAATAGCAGCTGCAGTTAAAAAGAGGAAAAAAGAGCAAGGCCAAGAAAATTGCGACTAAGCCGTTCAGAGAGTAGAATAAAAGGTGTGGAATATATCTCTGCCAAAGGTAAGATTATTCCAGCTAAAAAGTCAAGACCTGTGTCTGAAAGCTGCCGAGCGAAATGTCATGAAAAAACTGCCAATATTGACCTGAAGCAAGTTTTCATCGACTACAGAAACCTACCTAGTAGAGATATTCAGAAGCGGTATTTAGCAAGTTTAATTACAGTTAAACCGAAAGAACGAACAAGGTGTGGCACATCAGCAAAAAAATAGACAAGTTACAGTACTGTATAAGCTAGATGGTGCAACTGGTAACATCTGCAAAAATTGCTTTTTGAAAGTGTTCGGTGAGACCAGAGGTTTCTTAGACGATGTCGTTAAAAAAAAGAAAGCATCCCCTACCTCAATCATCCTGAAGTCTGACTTAAGAGGAAATAAGCGATCTGAAGCAGATGTCTCATTTGCTAGAGATTTTATAAATACGTTCCCCGCCTATGAAAGCCATTATTCTAGGCAGCATACAACAAAACGATATTTAGCACAAGACTTAAATTTACAGATACTGTATACACTTTATAAAGAAAAATTGAGCAGTACAAGACCCGAGCAAGATGCAAAACCTTTGAGTCTGAGTGTTTTTCGCAACGTTTTTAAAACCTTGAATTTGAAATTCAAGAAGCCAAGTAATGATACCTGCAAAACGTGCGATGCATTTTCTCTGAAATTAAAGTGTTCCGTCCTCGCGGAAGAAAAACAACAATTAGAAAACCAGAGTAAACAACATCAGGACAAGGCTGCCTTTCATTATGCAACAAAACGAGCTGATAAAGAAAACAGTAAGCAGAGCTTGGGCAGGATTATGGTAGCTGCGTTTGACTTACAAAAGTGTTTGACTGCTAGTGTATCTTTCTACAAAAGAAAGTTATGGACATTCAATTTGACGATCCGCAATATGACTACAAAAAGAACATCGTGTTACATGTGGCACGAAGGTGTAGCCCAACGAGGAGCTGATGAGATCGCTTCTTGCCTGTTTCAGTTTATTAAGGACTTACCAGACCATGTTGAAATTCTAATCCTGTATTCTGATACGTGCCCCGGTCAGAATAGAAACAGCATATTGCCTATTATGTTTTCGAAAGCACTTGATGAGAAGAATACTTTGAAAGAAATTCATCACAAATTCCTAGTTCCAGGTCATACTCATTTACAGTGTGATACAGATCATGCTACTATAGAACGGTTTGTGAAAAAACGGAATCCCACAATCTCAGTCCCACAAGATTGGATGTCTGTTGTTAAAATGTCTAGTCCTCGTTTCAGCGTGAAATTAATGAAACAAAACGATTTTCTTGGATTTTCCAAACTCTTAACAACACATTTCGCTAAGGATAAGTCATCCTTTGCGTGGAACAGCATATTTTGGATTTGTTACAAAAAGGATAATGACATAGGCTTCAAATATATATTAAATTCCGAGGAACCTTTTCGTTATTTCTCTATGCTAAGAAGAGGAAGGTCTTCTTCAATGTCTAATATCGAAATACCTCCAGCCTATAGCGAGCCTGTAACTATAGACATATTGAAATATAAGGATATTCTTGATCTT